ATTTCTAATATAGAAGTTAAAAAAAATATATTTTTAACAGAAACATATTTCTCATTATAATATTGTATTTAAAAAATAAACTTTATTACATTATATGCGCAGTATATACAAGTGTGATTTAATAGATGCGTTTTGAGTTATGCATAAAGCGCATGATGCATCATTATTTGTCCTTGTTTACTAAATAAAAAAGAAAGATAAAACGATCATGCGCTTCATGTGTAACTCGGAACGCACCCAATATTATAGGAAGAATACATCATAAAGTCATTGACAACAAAAATCAATAGATAAGATTTCGGAGTCTGAAAGTCTAAAGTTGATACGTATTTGAGCGACGCTTATCAATACTTTACCATGCAATATGCACTTTACAGTCCTCGAAATCTTATTCACAATGTTGGCTCTGGAGCTAAAATTGGATAGACCTGATCTAATGCAATAAAATGATATGCAAACTTACTATAATCTAGCTGTTTATATTTAAAAATTAAAACTATGTAAGATTGAAAAATCAAAATTGATGGAAACGATAATCACAGTACTTGAAAATTATTTGAAATTTAGAATCTTTATACAGTTCACGGTGAGCGAAATTGATGATATATTTTATGAAACATACTGCAATTACTTAAGAAGGTGAGATTTTTACGATTTTAATCTTAGCAATAAAAATAAATAATAAAGTATTATTCCTTGTTTATATTGAAACTTCCTGGACGGTCAATAAGTAAACCTGATATTTTTTCATTGTTAAATGTTATTTTTTCTTTGTTCTCACTTTTTGGTAACATCAAAAGTGCGTTTGAACCTACCATATTACATAGTTTATCTTTGAAAAGATTACCCATGCTACAAGCCATTGCTAGATTATCTTTAGACCACTTCAAATATGTACACGCAAGTCTAGGACGGTGATGTAGAATAAATGGATTATCTACCTACAATTTTAAGAATATCATAATATTAGATATATCTTTCTATATTTTATGATATTATGTGGACTATAAACTTACATAAATTGGTAATATAGGATTTTCCGAGCATTCATTGCAAGACATCTTTTTTAGAAAAGGCAAAAGGAATACTTGCGCAACAATAAAAGCAGTTACCGGATTTCCCGACAAACACAAGAAATATTTTATTTTATCATTGATCTTGCATGTAGCTAGCGTAGTTGACTTCCCTGGTTTTATATTTACATTACCTGAAAAAAATGGATATAGTTGTAAAAACTTTTTTTATATGTTGAAAATTAATGAGAAAAATAAGAGATAACCAAAATATATTTCGGCTTGAAAGTGTTCTAGCAAGATTTTCTTCAATAAATCTTTGTCATTAGCAGAACCTAATGTCACAAGTATATCTACTTTATCTAGAGCTTTCTCAATATTCTTTTGTATGGATAATGATCTGCAAAAATTAATTACTTTTTTAAATTATTAAGTACCGTGGAAAGTTTGTGTCATTTTATCAAGAGATGTTTATAAGGGAAAAAAATGATATAAACTTTCCGCAGTATCTAATATTTATATAATTATGAACAAAATTTTGTAAATAAAAAACTATTAAAGTGATGTAATAGTTTGCATATTTGAAATTGTAAAAAATTTTCAACGCTCTCACGTATTATTCACGATTCCAAAATCTGAAGAAGAGAAATCGTTATCTTTTAGTAGTGAAATTATAATTATTCTGCTAATATCGTAGACATATCCTGGTTTTAAAGGTTTTGCGGGTTCTTCTAAGTTATTGCCGATGGATAATACACCTATAGACAATTGCTTAGCGACTACAACTTCTTTATGGCCAGAAGCTGCCAAGACTCCCATCTCTTCTGGGCCAATACGTGTGTATTGTTTTAAGATAAGTTTTTCTTTCATTACGTTGTAACCAATAGGACTTCGAAATAAATATACAGATAAATAAAATAACTATTTTGATAGATAAAAATAAAATTTTGTCTGGTATGAAAATATTGAATTTATACTTAATGTTTTGCCCATATTGCGGTTTACTCATTATTTCAATATACACTTTGTTGTCTAGATGAGATCTAATTCGTTTTGTATTTTCTTCTTCTACAACCGCTGTTGCTTCTGTAATCAGACACAAATGATAATTGATTCTTTATTATAAATGATGGATCAGTGTAATTATAATTTCTAATTATTTACCATTAGGAACAGGTGCTCCACTCTTCACCCATGTGCACGTTCCACATTGAAGCGAAATCGGAGGATACTGAACAAATTTTGTTTAGTTCTAACTAATTCTAATAATTGTAACTTGTTGCATATACATATACAACAAAAATATATATCTACATAAAATATACCATAGATATATGCATCGAATTTATCTTACCGTATTATTATTATTCAACACTTGTCTCATTCCTTTTCCATCAGATACCAACACTGCGTATCCATGCTTTTTGGAAGTTCTAAATGATGGCACGTTATATTTCGAATAAACATTTTTAAATAATATTCTACCATAGGCATCACTTATTTTTACCGATTCAGTATCTGTAATTATACTTGTTATGGATACTTCATTCAATATTATTAATGCATTATCTAAAGAAATTAGAGGCGTCCATTCCGTATTGCTTGCATTATACTCTATTCTCTATAAATATCTTTAATTGTATATATTTATAATATTATAAAATTATTATTTGTTGTGCTTAGAGTATCTTACTTTTGCAGAAGTATATGAAAAAGAAGAAGAAATAGAAGAAGAAGGTTCCTTAAAAGTTTCAGACCAATGAAGTTTTTCGTTTGCATCTTTATCTGTTATCTATACAAATAGATTAGTCTTAATATAGTCTGTGTCTATATTATCTTATAAATCTGTTTTACAATATTAATTTTAATATAGACAATATACTTCACCTGCTCTGAAACATTATTATCGGAAGAATTGGGAGAATATGCATTGGCAAGTAGCGACTCAGTCTCTTTGTTCTCATCATCATTCTTGCGTATTAAATGCAATGTATTTATCAGTGTATCTGCAATTGCTGCAATGCAAACATTGTCTATGCCGGGCAAATTAATGATTAACGTCTTGTTTCGTATTCCACATACAGTTCTGACAATAAATCAATTGTAAGAGTTGTGTGTGTAAATTTCAAAATTACAACGTAAATAAAAATAAAAGTTTACCTGTGACTTGTTATCTTGTTTAGATTTTTTTCTATGATCCTTATCGAAATTGCTATATTTTCAGAAAGTTCTTTGGGATCAATAATTATAGTTCCAATCATTTTATTTATAAATTCTCTGTTAGTAGAGTCAAAATGATCAGTAATAAAAACGACATCAGCTTTATTATTTGCAGATATTGAAAGTAATCTTTTCTATATCAATTTTATATAATAAAATAAAATTTAAGACAAGTATATTTAATAACATAGTATATTAAATTTATAAAAGTATATTAAATTTATTATATTTATTATAGATATAATTACCATTATGGTATCTTTAATTGGTTCTGCAATTATTACATCGACTATTTTTAAATTAGATATAACAGCCAATGTCTCACGAATCTTGTTATATTTTATAATATATTGCGAATTATATAAAAGATTTTTGTTTTCTCTTAAGTCATGTAGATTTCTATACAACTGAATTGATTTATTTACTAAATAGATACGATAAAATTATTAGATTTTTTAAAATATAATAATTAAGTTTAAAGATATATTATATGTATGTATATATTTTTATGATTTGTCTCAATATTTACAAGTAGCTATTAAACATCATTTTAAAATAAAACTATGAAGCAAATTTTCTTTGTTATACTGTATAGGCATATTAATCATTATTAATTATTATAGATATTAAATAAAATATATTGTTATATTTCTAGTGTATAAATATAATGTTTTTAAAACATTTTTCATTATAATTTTGTATTTAAGAAATGAACTTTATTAAGTTATATATGCAATATTTACAAGTCTGATTGAATACACATGAAAAATATGTGTCCAATCATGGTACATACCAATTATAATTTGAGCTGTTATTGCCATTTTCGCTCCTTCAGATCTTTTCGTGTTATTATATGATACTCAACTTTCGCTATATGTTTAATCTCAATTATCACGTTCATCGACTGAGCTGACTTTGTCGAAATGATATTTGTGATGATGGTTACGAAACGTTTGACGAGATGCTGTTTATATTTTTTTTCTGAATATTTAAATTGTATTCCGTAACGTCGATTTTATTTTTATAATTTAGTGAGAATACTATCACATTTCGTTATAATTATGTAAAAAATATATGTAAAAATGTATTTCAAATTAATATCAATGACTTATAAGAATATAGAAGATTCTAATTAAACGAGAAAAAGAACAATAAAAACATTATATACATATAGATACTAGAAATAAAATAAATTATAATGCTAAATTATAATGCCAACTAATAATTCAATATATTAAACTGGCCATTTATATATTTACATTTATCATAATTACACAAGGAATTAATATATTATATTAGTTTTTATGAAGAAAAGATTTAAGATTTATAAAAAAAATATTAAATTTAAAAAAATCTCTAAACAAGCGTAAGTTTGAGAAGAATAAATTAAATGTAAGAATAGTTCATTATCGGAATCATATGAAGAAAAGTATTTAAAATACGCGAAAAAAGAAAAAGAAAAATCAGAAACACCGTAGCATTCATTTTATTTCTAAAATCACAGTTGCGAAATGCGACACTATTTGGAGAAAAACGCGGGCATGTAACGCAGCACCATCCAACGGATTCCAACGGAACTAGCCGATGCGTCGGAGCTTTCATGCGACGCCATGAGGCGGCGCGCAAGCGCAACTCGCAATCGTCCGCCCTTTTCCCGCCGCGCTGACGCTGACGTCGCTGACGAGTGTCGGGACTGTCGGGCGGCCAGTAGCAGCTGACCGATGGGAGCGTTCGGAGTAGTTCCTTCCGTACTCGGCTTCGCAGTCCTCGCATTCGTGCGTGTCCGCGTGAGCCCGTACGTCTCACGGCGATCCGTCAATCGTCTTACATCGAACGACACGCGTCGTGTGTGATCCGAGAAAGTAAAGCCGGCGCCGAAGGAAGAATTCACGAGAACGCCGCATCTTCCACGTCGATTGCGAAATTAGTGAAAGGCGCGCGACACGCGGGACGAAGACGACAACGGCCACGACGACGACGACGACGGGTCACGGGTGGAATTACCACGGTCAACGGAACGCCGGGTGAGTAGCGATCTTCGTTTCACCTTCCTCCTCTCGCTCGCGATCGCGTCACCGATCTTCGTTGTAGAGCGCAGTGCAACTGGATATTCCTCCCGGCTACATGTCAACTTTTTGACGTCAACTTTCTCCGATAAGTTTTTTTATAACGCTTTTTTATAACGCATAGAATGCTATTTATATATGACGCTCACCGAATGGTATGTACGATCGCACGACGCTCCGCTCATGAATCCGTGGATCCGCGATCAGTTGTGTCACGTTGCAATTTCGTGACATCGCACAGGAACGAAGATGCGAGCATGAGTGCGTGAGTGCGTTATACTTGCGTGCGTGCAACCAGCCACGCGCATACGAGACTTTCGCGTTCTCCGGGGTGACTGACACCTGATGCGTCGATGACCGTGCCATGCGTAGAAATATGGAATCCATCCATCGAATAGCGACATGTCATGCGAAAAGATTGCGCGTTATTTATTTTTGCCCGATGATCCGATGATAAAATACCGCCGCATTCCAACGGCTCGCGAAGGATACGATCATCTGCGTTACGCAAACACATACATTTTTTTTCGCGCGGAGGGAGGACGCGCGATCCGGAGAAAGCGTCAGATGGCGTCGCGTCTTTCCGGGGAGAACTATTTGCGCGGTGTGTGTGAATCGCCACTTCTTAGATCACGGCCAGAAAAAAATGCATATTCGTGAATGATCCACTGAAAGTTTGACGCATTGAGAAAAATTTGTGATGAAAACGAATCAGAAGATTCAGATCGCGTCAGTCAAAATTCTGCACGTTATTGATGGTAAGATTTTGACTGATGTAACTGATGTGTATGTGAATGAGTTTTATGTGTGTGGGTGTGATTTCAGCTATTAGTTTACCTCTTATTGTTGTCTTATTCTAATTTTGTTAGTGGTAGGCTTTGTAACAACAATTCTGCTGATGCCTAACCATTTGCAAGCTATTATTGTCTACTTACTTATGTTTATGTTAATCTATAGTCTATTGTATCAGACTTTATGTCTATTACTCTATTAATATGTAGTCTTTTTCATATAGCTTTGCAATAAACTAAATTAAATTAAATTAAATTACTTCAACTGGAGCTTCCAAAATGTTTTCTCCCAAGTATTTTAAATATCGAGTGAAATTTTCTTCAGGGAGGACATTTTAGAATATAGCCTGAAATTGTAATAGATTCAATCAGAAAATTCTAATCCGTCCATTTTCAATCAAAATTTTAATTAATGTAACCAGATTCTTTTCGATGCGATCGATAGTTTTAAAGATGTATTTTTATAGCGCGTATTTTGCACGTTTAATGCATTTGTAAGTAAACGTCATAAATTAACTGTTCTTGTTTGTACATTTTTTTATACGTTTTATATATTTGATACACTTTTCGTACATTTTTATATATTATTCAATGCCGAAAAACTAAAATATACCGGAAAACCAAAGTGTGTCGACGTTGCGATTTTAAATTCTAACGGGTTTGTATTTCAGCATTTTAAATTCTAACGCGGATATACCAGGATTTTAAATTCTGATATGCACATGATAGGAAAAACATTAGTCGAATAAAACGATACTTATCAGTCACCGTTAATCGCATTCATATCTGAGGAACTTCAAACGTAACATTGAAAATGAACGTTTCCGCAGTAGGCGTAAAATATATTTATAGCAATATAATACATAATAATAAAAATGAAAGAGAAATAAAGAACACGAAATATTAATCTTTTTTTATTATTAGATTTTTTTATCAAATCTTTTTTTATTAATAATTTGCAGACTTTAACTGACAGTCATAAATTTTTTAGTTTTACACAGAATAACAATATATGTTTATTTACGGCTACAGAATTGTTGAGACTTTGTTTTCGACATAATTATTTATTTAACCAGAGTTGTTTTTACCAAACTTTTTTTGTGTGAGAGCCATAAATCCTGGTATATAAAATTGCAGCTACGAGAAGAATCATTAATAAGTTAAAAATCATATAGATTTTAATATATAGCTTTATATCTTTGTTGATCAGAATTGATTGCGTCTTAATTAAAACGTAGAAGCAACCTGTGAATAGTTTCTAAAATATAAACGATTGTAAATGAAGATGCGAATGAAACTTCTGGGAGTGTTAAATTAAATATAACGAAACTTCATTATTCATTTAAATTGACTTTACTTTCCCGAAGTTTGAATTTAACGTTTAATTATATTAATAATGAGAGTAGTATTGAATATTATACAGTTGTGGCGAAAGATGACGATTTTCTCGGAAGTTCTTCGGGTGGGGGATGAGAGAGGAAAAATGCAAATTTATTGAAGAATCTATAAGTTAAAATTGAAAATTAGAAACAGCCTGTATGAACAAGATTATAATAACTATAAGAGAAATTCTCTGGTTAAATTCAGTAATGCTGTTAATTCTCACGCCGCGACGAGGGAATATTTTGAATAAAGTTATTTTGTAATATTACATTTATATTTTATGATTTTATGTAGATATTTCAGACATTTTAAACATTTGTTTACAAACATTTGTAGAATATATTCCTATGTATTGCTGTGCAGTTTCGATATTAATCGATTGTACTACAGGCAATTGTTTACATACATTAATTTTCGTTGTAATTAATCTAATTAATAATTAATAAATTTCATAAACTACGAATTAAGTTTTGTTTTAACGAGAACAATATGCCGGCAATTTATAAACTTATTACTTTATTTACTTTGTGTATTTATTAGAAACGTAAATCCTGTTAGAAAGTTTTCAAACTAGTTTTATCGCTTCAAAGAATGAATATACATATTCATTCGCAAAAATAAAAGATAATAAATTAGATTTCACAACTTACTGTTGGCAAAATGCAAGTTAAAAATTAAACGAGTTGAGGAAAATGAGATGTGCACTGTCGTGGAAACTATTCTTATTAACCGTACATTAATTTATCTTACTAATTTATCTCGATGGACGATGCTACTATGAAATGAAAGAATAGTAATCTATAAGCCAAAGGCTCGAGGATTTAATCGAGGATTTTAATTGAAAATACGTGTACTTTCATCTTTATGAAACAAAAGCTCATTGATATATCTTTTGTATTGCCGAAGGAGTATTGTAAATTATTCTGGCCGTAAAGTTGAGTCTCTTTTGCTGTTACGATATTGTACGTCATACGAAAGACGCGATGAAGCTCGGACGTTACGCAAAATAAATACGCGATACATACATACCGCTAACGGCACTGCGGTGCAGCTTGCGGAGTAAGTCAATATCATAAACGTAATACGGGCTGGCGAGCGAAAACAATAGCGGTCACTCCGAGAGAAGAAGAGTGAAATAATCCAAACGGAAAACCGTTGAGTCTTTTTCCACAGGCTTATCGAAAATGTATCTGCATTTGTATCCTCATCGTACGATTATTCCGCAAAGGAAGCGCGGAATTACGAAGTATATTCCACCTGATTACATGCAAGCTATAATCTCCTTTGCCGCTCTTTATCGAAGTACATCCGTCTTGCGAAACAAATTGCAGTGTTTTTTTTTTCTTTTTTCGCTGCACAATTCATCGGTTTCATTCCGATGTCGTTCTCTCGGTTGTATATCGAGTCGTATACAAAATATTAGTTCTGTATCCATAATTTTCACTCTCAAGGAAGTCAGATGCGTTTAATTGATAAAGAAATTCATAATGTTACTCACATTTTTTAGAAAATGAAAAATTATTATTTTCGAGCGTCTTTGATATCGCTTTATAAAGCCAATGTAAAGATTACTGTTACGTT